ACTGATAATCCCAGTTGTGCTGGCACCACTTGAAGGGCTTTTCCAACCCCAGCGATTCCCTGATTCCCTGATTCCCATTCCCTGCTTTGAGGGGGTCTGTGTTACCTCTCCAGAGAGCTGCTCGTTCCATTGCCATCATGTTCAGTGTCTTTATCCCTTTCCAAACCTTCCAGGAAAGGTTTCATTTCCAGGCCTGGAAAATGAAACTGGATTCATTTCTTTCCATACGGGTGCAGCGAGGGAGCCTGAAGTAAACTCTGTGTGCAGAACTTGGGATAAGCTCGGGCACAGATGTCACGTTTCTTGGGGCTTCAAACGAGCAGAACAACCCCAGGGACTATTCCTTTAAGGAAATAACGATTCCCAGCTGCCCAGGAGAGGCGGGAGGGGAGCCTGGGCTGGTTTCTGCTGAGCTCACCACGCTCAAACGGCTCCTTTATTGCACTCGGGCAGTTTGCAACTCCCAGGGTTGCAACACCTCCCTTTCAGGCTTCAAACCAGCACCAACGTGATGGATGCCCTTTGCTTTCTGTCAGAGGATTTCTGGAAGTGCAGGCAGTGCCCTCCTGGCACAGGCTGGGAATCTTCTGGGCCGGGAGAGGCACTTGAAAACAAGAGATCGACCCCACGGCCCCCCTGTTTCTGATGTTCTGGGTTTTCTGTGCCCTTACAGTAGGAAGGAATTCTTCCTTGGGAGGGTGGTGAGGTGCTGGAAGGGATTTCCCAAAGAAGCTGTGGCTGCCCCATCCCTGGAAGTGTCCAAGGCCAGGTTGGAGGGGGCTTGGAGCAACCTGGGCTAGTGGGGGGTGCCCCTGCCCATGGCAGGGGTGGAATGAGGTGGGTTTTAAGGTCCCTTCCAACCCAAACCAGTCTGGGAGTCTGTGGTTCTTGACTCCCTGAGAGCTGCCAACCCCTCCTGGCCCTGCTGAGGGGCTCTTTGGATCTGTGGTGTTTTCTGGGGGCCTGAGGAGAGCATCCTTTTCCTCCCTTCCCTCCTCATTTGGAGCCTTTCCATGCCAGGCCCACCTGGTATCTCCCGAGTGAGTTTTTCTTTTAGGAAGGTTTGCTCTTGGCTACTTCCAGCCATTTAATATAGTGAGTTTAAACAGAAAATAGTTCTGCAAAGGGGTGGATTTTAATGGATTTTATTCCTGACTTTTGTAACCAGTGGGGAGGGATGTCTCTGACGGGATTGTGTTACTAACAGGAGTAACACGAGTGTTACAGGGCTGAGGAGATGCTGCTCGGGGAGAAAAATGCTCCTTGTTCATCTGTTCTACTTCATTTAGGCCCTTCTGCTCTAACTGGGGGCTTTGTCATGGCAGAGCAAGGGCTGTTGTCTCCTGAGTAAGGTGAGGGAATCCCGGGAATTGAGGATTGTGGGATCCTACAGTGACAGTGAGTGTCACCTCCCCGGGGTGAGTCCTGCAAATATCCAATATTAACTGAGTGGAGACGTGTGGCAATTGTCTAACTCACTTTAGAATCCCTCTGCTGCCCTGCTCTGGGAGTTCAGGTTTCCCTCTGCTCTGTGGGCTCTGCAGCCCTGAGGTCTCTCGTGGTGTGTGTGACAGGGGGAGGCTTTGGGGCTGTGTTTCCTTGGACAACTGCTCCTTTATGCCAGCCCTGCTGAGTGGCTGCAGCGGGCAGACGTGCCTTTCCTGGTGCTGGGCAGTCACCTGATTGCTCAAGAGGCTTAGTGGTGTTTGTGGTTCCAGGCTGTGACCTGGTGTTGCACCATGGGCCTGGTGCAGCCTGGCCTGGCCAAAGCCTCTGTGTCCTGGCGGATCCAGAGGGACAGGACTGGGCAGGGAATTCCCTCAGGTTCCTTAGTGCTGCTGCTGCTGTAACTGGTCACAAATTCCCTGGCTTGTGTTCCTCCTTGTTGGCAAAACTGGGATTGGTGGCACCTGCAGAGCTCAGGTGTGGAGTGAGTGGAAGCTGGAACAAAGTGCAGTTTGTGTCCTCTGGATAAATTCAAGCTACCGTGACAGGGGGATGAGTTTAAGCTTGTACAGAATCTCTCTTGAAGGCCAGGACAGTTGAATGCATTATTTTTTAGGCCACAGTTGTTGCTTTTTGGCTGGGAAAATGTGCTCTCTGTGGCCTGGCCAGACAGGAGGGAGCTGCAGGACCAGCTGTGTGGTGACAGTTAATCCTTGCTCTGTACCAGATCCCAATCCCAGAATCCCAGAGTGGTTTGGGTTGTAAGGGGCTTTAAACCCCATCTCATTCCACCCCCTGCCATGGGCAGGGACACCTTCCACTAGCCCAGGTTGCCCCAACCTGGCCGTGGACGTTTCCAGGGCTGGGGCAGCCACAGCTTCCCTGGCTGGGTTGCTGCCTTTCTCTGGGCTGTGAGCAGCATTTAACATGATTTTGCTGAGGTTTAGTTTTGTTTCATCCTTGTAAACTCGTTGGGTCTGGTTTTTGCCTCGTCCTCTGTCACAGCTTCTTCAGGTGGAGGTTCCTGCAGGAAGATTCCAAAGAGTTGCTTATTCCTTTTTATGTGTCAGCTCTGAGTAATCTCCCCTTTGGCTCTTTTTCCAGCTCAAAATGCTCCTGTCTTAAATAATATTGTGAGCATCAGGTTGAACTTTTGGTCTCTTTAGGTCTGTGGAGGGGGAGGGACTTGGGATTAGTAACTTACTCATGCTTAACTAGGGGTAGGTGAGCCTTGCCTTGGAGCACTTCTTGGTGACCCTCACACTCCAATGTCTGCAACCCCCTGGTTTGAAGAGCTGACAGGTCAGCAAAATATCCCTGGAATCTGCTTTTCCTGCTCTAGTGCAATCAGCGTCTGGTTGATTCGGCAACTTAAGACTGGCTTAGAAATAAGCCCAGCCCAAAGGCCAGGCTGGCAGTGCCTCCTGTGGCAGGATGTCAGAGCTCAGGGCTGCTCACCCCCCTGCATGGGTTGGGAGTGTGCAGGTCACTCAGCCCGGGAGCTCTTCCAGGGCAGATTTCTGGAAGGAATTCGGAATTTGGGGTAGGGGGGCAGCCCTGGAATGCTCTGGCAGGTGGGCTCAGGGAGGGGTTATATTTTCTAAGAGGCTTTGCTGTGACTTGGCTCTGCCTGTCATGGGATGTTCTTGGTAGTTCCAGCATTGCAAGAGATGCTGGCAGTGGGTTTGTGAACTCCTTGAAGGCCCTGGCTGTAAACTGGGAGCACTGGAATTTCACAGGCCTTTGCTTAATCAACTCTTAATTGTTCCATGGATGAGAAGAGCAGTGAGGAGCAGAGTCCTGTGAGAGCCCCAACCCCAACTGGACCCCGGGTCTGACTTGGGGGGTCACCTGCTTTGCTGCTTGAAGGTATTACTTCCTCTTCAAGTATTTTTCCCTGGAAAAAAAACCAGTCCTGAGCTTGTGGAGTCAGTGAATGTCTGTTCTGGCTGTGTGGAGTCAGACCAGCTCTAGCTGGGGGGAGTGGAAGAACAGGAGAAACTCGTGATAAATTCTGCTCCAGGGTGATATTTGTTTGATAGTGATTCTCTTCCTCCATCAACTGTTTTTTCTGACCTCATGTGAACACTTTTCCTCCCTGATAACCTGTGGGAACTCTTCAGGGGATGTGTTGTGTGAAGAACTTGCCTCTGCTGGAACCTGTTCTTGACCTTTGTTTCCATATCTGTTGCAGGCAGTGAGTGATCACCACTTTCTTCCCTGCCTTATATTCTTTCTCCTTGGATATCTTTGTGCTGAGGAGTTTCCTTAGGAAGTGTGTCAGGGGAAAGCTGTTCCCTTGCTTTTCCAGGTCCTGTTACCTCCCCAGCCATCTTCAGGTGGATATGGATGGTTAATTGACCATGATAAGCACGACTGTCCTTGAAGATCTTACAGAGAAAAGATTTTTGTCAGTGGTTCTGCCAGGCTGGATGTCAGAGGGCAGTGGGACTGTGGGAGGGAACAACCCCAAACCTGGCTGTTTGTCACCTCTTTTTACTGGCATTTACTGTCAGGGTTAGGTGGGATATTGGGAAGG